CTCAATTATCTCAATCTCTTCTTACATATTAGTTGAATAAAACAAACTCTTTACTCAACCCTATTCATTAAACAATCTAGAACAAGCTCTCTAGATTTAATTTAATAAAAGCATTACGACAAAAGAGATGAATTGAATTAAGGGCAAACTCACAAGCTCGGTTTACTTACTTAAGTGTTAATCCACATACAATCAATTGAAAATTCCTCATAATCCATTGAAATATAATTGTCACAAGGTTTTAGAATAAATAGCGATTACGTACTATATATCATAAAATAGCATTCATTGAACAAACTCAATCATTTAGTTGTACACCTAAACAATCAAGAAGAACAAAATAAACATATAAATCAATGGATTAAACACATTCATTAAGAGAACTATAAAGCACAAATTAATTAAAAATCATAACTCGGGTTTGGAATTGCCCCCAATCACAAATATGTTTAGTTACCCATGAAATACCCAAAAATAACAATTGAATCCTTACAACTCATGAATGAAAAATAAATTAGGGAAAAGAAAAACTTATTGATAAAGAAAATATCAATGGGTCTCCTTCTCCAAGCTATTCCATCAACACTTGCTCGAATCTTTGTCCAATAATACCAAAAGAAACTAAAGGAAGAATAAAGAAAGAAAATTAAAGAAAAGGAATTCAAAAGGAAGCCACTGAGAAGAGGCAGAGAGAAATTCCAGCTGCTGGACGGGTGTGCATAGTCAAAATAGGGCTGAATTGTGTTTTTTAATTCAACCCTAATTGGTAATTTGCACCCCAAGCCCTCAAGTTTCAAAACAATGACAAAAAGGTCCCTAAAGTTCCAAAACAAAATTAAAAATGTGCAGTGGCTAGTCTTCTCTGCCAAAATAGATTTTTGGTAGCCAACTTTTCCATAAAGTGCACGTCGGTTCTCCAACTATCAAAAAGTAATAATTTTGGTCCCCAAACTTTGAAATTTTTGCCTATTTTGTTCTTTTCTCTTCATTTTGTCTTGTTCTCTTTCCATGGGTGATCTTTGGCCTACAAAAGCATAAATTACACATTGTGAGTAAAAAATCATTAATTTAATCAATAATATGTTTAGTTCAAGTATTAAATAAGTGTGAAAGAAACACACTTATCAGGAATGACATTTGCACTTTATCTTTTAAGGTAAGTAACTATTCACGAAAATATATGTCAAATTAAACTATCGCAAGTGTACGGTTCGTTAACAAGTAATAAATTGAACCTTTTAAGTTCGAGTATCGTCCCACGAATATTAATTAGTTCGATTCCTATTACTTTGACCTTAACCGAAACTAGAATAGAATGACGTTTTGTTGTGATGAAATTATAACTAAAACAATGCTAAGTATGTGAGTAAAAATGATTTAACTAGATTAAATGCAAACGGCGTTAAATGTAAGCTGAAGTTTTCGAATGTATGATGAATGTACTGAGATCACGAATTCCTAAGTGATAATATTTTTAAACCTATTTTTACACTTTGACACGCAATTAAATATTGACGAATCAATATTCCTAAATTATTTAACAGTCTCTCTGGAGTGAAGTCAAACATATTCTCATATTTGATCGACTATATTTTTATGACGAATGCGAACATACAAGAATGCATGAGTTTTTTGTGAACAATTAAAGATTCACATATGTCATAGCGGTATATTTTTATCCCCTATCGGATCCTGTGATGATTTATACCATGTTGAACATATTTCTCTTCTTTCAAATGCATGAAATATATCACCACACTCACACATTAACGTGCACAATAACCGTGGAGAAAATAAATCTATATAAACCATTCAAATAGTCAAAGCGTGTTTTTATTGTCAAGAATGTAAAATTAAGAAATAAAAATTATATTACATAGTTCATCGTTCCCTAGTACAGAGTTAACATAGCCTAGCATGATGGAAAGAAAAAAATTAGAATTAAAACTAAGAAATAAAAATTATATTACATAGTTCATCGTTCCCTAGTACAGAGTTAACATAGCCTAGCATGATGGAAAGAAAAAAATTAGAAAATTAGAAACGACATCACCAATTGAATTATTGACTTTAATCTTCGCTTCGTAGTGTGTTCTTCACGTTCTCAGTCTTTTTCTCCTCTCAAAACCCTTATACATATGTTTTTTAGGTCAAAAGGAGGTCTCCCTACGTGTCCTGGTCGAGTTTGGTATATATAAGATGCCTAAAAAGTAAAGTTTCAATTGAAAAAGGAAACAAAATTTCGCCAAAAGTTTGTACTATGCGGCCGCATAGTACAATTTTAATTGGTCGCATAGAAGGACGCTCAACCATCAATGTTAGCCCTAGAATGCATAATGCAGTCACATCAAATTAGACCTATGCGGCCGCATATGTTTACGCTTTTTCCACCGGACAGCAATCGATATTTTGGTCATATCTTTCTCTCCCGATATCCGATTGAAGTGATTCAAAATGCGTTGAAAAGATAACACAAAGGGCTACAAACCTTCAAGAAATATAATTTTTTTCAATTCGAACATTTCCTATACCAAAAATGGGTCTCAAACTGAGACTGAAAGTTCGACGTATAACTTTTTTCGGCTGAAGTTGATATGTGATAGTACTTGGGCGATATTTCACCCATTTGGCTTCTTTCCTCATCCAATTGATGCATAATACTCTCAAATCTTCATCGTGAGGTTCGACTTAACTTTTGAATATTTACATTTCAGTCCCCGAACTTTGTATTTGTACAATTGGGCCCTTATCCTCTATCTTTGCATTATTTTCTCCAATTATTCATCAAACATTGAGTTTCACCTACAAAATGAAATATAACATAAGTTAGGTAGTATTTTATCAAAGAACAGTAAAATATCATAATTTAAGATCTCGAATAAGTGTAGAAACTATACTTATTAGTAACATTGTAAAAAATTAAATATCAAATTGAAATACTTTTTTAAAAATAATTTTTTTATGCAAGTATTTTTATAAAATAATCTTTTCGTGCATAAAATAATTTTTGAACTTCTATTATTCATTACTAAATATCAAATTATTATTACCTTTATATTTGAACTAAGAAGTCCAGTTTTTTTATCTTGTTTCGAAGTTTCCCTCTTAGACCTCTCGTCTTGATCTTTCTTTGATGTCATCTTTCATGCTCTTGATCCTACTTTTTCTTGACGTTTGTCTTTTAAGCTCTCGTCTCGAATTTTTTGTCTTGAATGCTTAACGTTCACTTTGATCTTCATTTCGAGTCCGATTTGGAATATGTTGATTTTGGTAACGCTTGATTGATTTTAATATTGAACTATCATCACTCAAAATCAATTATTTGAAACAATATTAATCTTATTTTTTATGATGAAAACATTAAGAATGAAATCAATCAAAAGTCAACACAATCTTTCTCGAATGGATCCTTTTAAAATGGACACAACCCGTTAAAGTTTACTCCCTTCTTCTAAGATATATGCAACTAAAGATATATTATTCTTCACTCTATTAGTTGCGATCAAAGTACTTCTTTTCATTTATTTGTTAGAAAAAGTTAAACAAATTTGTGTCACAATTTTTTACAACAGAAAACATTCATTTATCTAAATATCTTTTAATCCAATAATTATCTTTAAAACGACGCTCCAAATAATGAGCTCTATATAAACTAGGCAATAACCCACGATATATCTCCTATTAGGGTAGTACTAAAAATAGTTTAATTTTGATTATATCCATTAAGACTAATTACTAATCAGTTCTATGCTCAATTTCACTTAGAGTTTGTTTGATTGGTTTGGAAAATATCTCCTGAAAAATAAAATGATTTCCTTATTTAAAAAAAAAAACTCCCCCCCAAAGAAAATGTTTTCTAAAAACAAAGAAAATTAGACATATTTTCAAAAGTTGATCAAACACTCCAAAGTAGGAATTTGGGTACTCAAATTTTTCGTGGAATATAAATCCAATCAAACACACCCTTATTTATTCATAGCGCGTCCGAGAGATCAGAGTACGTACTTGAATTAAGGACCTTAAATCCGTAATTAGTATTTTATTATTTTTCTTTAAATTTGATAGGCTAGATTGGAAAGGATAAGCAAAAATTTTTATAACATATTATTTTTCTTACTTATTTCTGTACAGTTTTATTCATTCAAATACAGATAAATTTTAACTAATTAATGTAATTCTAAAAACTTTACCTCTTTCAAAACCTTGAGGGCATGAGAAATTAATATGTATGGAATAGAAAGATTCTAACTCCAAAGTAAAGAATCATTGCAAATAAGGAATAATAGATTACTAGCTAGAATAAAAGGAACAAACAGAGAAATTTTTCATAACAAATAAACACATTAGAAACATACAAAATAATATTGCAGTAATTACTATTCACAGCAGATGGTTTTGCATGCTTTATTCCATTTATACAATAACTACACAAAAATCAAACTTTTTCCACATTATTTTCTTAAAAGCTTGATCAAGAAAACCTTAATAAAATTCAAGCCATCATCATTTGCTGAAATTCATGATAATCAAGTTCGCCATTACCATCCATATCGTAAACTTGAATCATAGCCACGCACTCATCATATGATTTTGAGTCCCCTAATCGACTCAAAACCCTCTGCAAACTTCTGGGCGTGATCCGACCCGACCCTTTCTCCAATTCAAATATTTCAAAGGCTCCCTTCAAATCCTCCTCTTCACCTTCTTTCTCCATTAGTTTCATAAAATCTTGAAAATCGAGAAGATTATCTTTATCCGTATCAAGATTATTGATCACTATTTCAGCATCCTCGTGTGACATATACTCTCCCACAGATCCAAAATAGGATCTTAGTTCAAGTGCAGAAATTTTTCCATCATTATCACCATCAAAACGACGAAAAACTTCCTTGAATTCCTCCTCTCTTGAGTTGTTACAACTCGAGTTTCTTCGTGGCGTCATAATTGGTGATTTGGGAGTCCTAGGAGAGCTTAAGGATTTCGATTTCGATTTTAGTAAACTCAACGTAAGCTGCTTTGGAGAAAAACTACGAAAAGATTTGGAAATTTTAATGGGGTCCATTTTTGTGATACAAAAAGGAGTTTCTGGCCCTTAATATATAATAGGGTCAAGAATTATATAAAAAGCTTTGCAGGGAAAATGAAGAAGCATAGAGCAATTGCCAGGAAATTGCTAGGTACAAGTTGAATTATTAGGTTTAACTTTCGAACGCAGGAAACTGCATGGAAATTTCTTTAGGACCCAAATAATTGACCTTGTACTGGCCTCTATTTAACTCTCACGTACGCATTACACGAACTACTTTAGCCCCTGTTTGATGGTAGTTATTTGACCAAAATAATATTTTGAATAGTAATTTTTAATAAAACTAATCACCGTTGAACGTACGTTGCATGATATAATGAAAAACTTTATAAGTGATGTAAAAGTAATATTTGAATATGTGTGAATGTTAATTAATTTAGAATTAATATAAAGAAATATATACGTAACAATGAATGTTAAATTATTTATTTAATTTCCAATTAAGTAAATTTGGATGTTAATTAGTATACATGAACGTGAATAATAAAATACATTCTTGAATGTGAAATTTTAAATAACTTATAATTATGATTAATAACACTGAAATGTATAAATGAAGATTAAATGTTAATTAAATGAATGTGAATATTAATTAATTGAGAATTAATAATAGGAAATTCATATATTAATGAAAGCAAACATGTGAAATGAATATGTCAAATGTACTTGAACATTGATGGTAACTAAATAGTTAAATAAATTAAATATATATTAAAAACGAAAAGTAATGTATATTGAACTATAGTAGGGTTAAAATCTTCCAAAAATAATTTTCACTTAATATGATATTTAATATATTATAGATGTGTAGTTAAAAAGTAGAAAAAAAAATTTTGAATTTACATACAGAATATTTTATTTGTGTGAATGTGTGGTTCAAAATGAGTATGTAGAAAAAATAATTTTCAAATAACGAGTGTTAAATAGGTACTTAAATGTCTCATTATAAGCCTATGAGGGTTGGTTGGGTTTGCCGCCCTAGCAAGTTATGAATTTTTTTCAAGAATATAACATTAATAAAGATATTTGAATACACCTATAATATAAAATATCACATTAAGTGATAATCATTTTTTGAACAATTATAACTCCTACTAAAATTCAATTATTTCAATAATATCTTACTTTTCATTTTTAAATATGTATTTAATTTACAAACTGTAATAAATACTACAAAATCATTGTTCATGCATTCCTTCTTATTAATTAACATTCACATTTATTTAATAAATATTAATTAGAATCTCATATTCACACTCATTTAATTAGAATACTATATTTATATCATTATTAATATTGTCAAATATACCGTCATCAATATTTTCAAATATTGTCCTTAATATTAACAATTAAACTATCTATAATTTGTTCATTGATCTCTACTAGTGTAAAATCCTAAGATATCACTTCTTCAATCGAAATAAATTGATCTTATCAAAAAAAAAAAAAACCAAATACATTTGAGTGGTGATTGCTGAAATTTAATGAAAATTAAAGTAACCTTAAAAACATGTCCCACTATTTATCAAAGTGTTTTCACAATATAATTTCTCTCATGATAAATAATACAAACAAATTAAGTAATAAGAAAGGCTAACACTTTAATGAATAGCAACAAATGATAGTACAAAGATGAATTTTTTTGATAAATATGCTGGTTTAAAATGAGAAGATGAAAAAGAGTCAAATTCAATTTAAGTTCAAAAATCTTCTCAAAAGATTTCTCCCTTTTAATGAATAATTGTAATAAATGAAGTACTAAGAGAGTAATAAAAAAATTTTGATGAATACGATAATTTTACAAGTTTGATTCAATCAATCAAAGTTTTCTATATGAAAAAGTAGAAAAGTTTATGCAATGTAAATGGAAAAATCTTTTTCAAAAAAATATATTTATCTTTTAAAATTGATATAAATAAGTTAAGTACAAAGCGAAATGGAAAAGTTTGACGAGATAAACGATTCAAAATGTTTGATTCAACAATCAAAATTTTTGTTATGAGAAAATGAATGTAAAATGTAAGCTCAAAGAAATTTTTTTATAAATATATTTTGGCCTTGTATGGGAGGGATTAAAATCGGATTAAAATTGAAAATATAGTCGTTATTGTTGACTTTTATTAGACGGGTGGGACCCAATAACGACCATATTTTCAATTTTAATTGGATTTTAAGCCCTCCCGAACGGGGCCTAAATAACTAACCCTGTTTGATTGCAATGAATTCCATAGAAAATATCACATTCGAGGAAAACGAATTACACTCTGTATTTAAAATATCTAGTCAGGTTAAAAATATTAAGAGCTTGTTTGGGAGGGATTAAAATCAGATTAAAATTGAAAATATAGCCGTTATTGTTGACTTTTATTAGACGGGTGGGACCCAATAACGACCATATTTTCAATTTTAATTGGATTTTAATCACTCCCGAACGGGGCCTTTATAAGAAAACTTTTTGTTAGTTTTTTATGAATGCAAAGTGAAGTGGTATTTATAACAGTCAAAAGGTCAAAAGTCCTAGCTAATTAGAGGATACATCCGGACGTCCGCATCCTGAACTGGACGACACAACTAACCGTTGTACGTCAGAAATCAAAACAGTTAAAAAAAATTATCGTTGGCGAACCGGACGGAAAGCTTTGGCTTTGGCTTTGGCTTTGGCTTTGACTTTTTTTTTTTTTTTTGAAAAATTTTGATTTTTGAAGGACGTTTTCACTTTATCTTTTAAGGTAAGTAACACTGTAAAAAATTTAAATATCAAATTGAAATACTTACTTTTTGAAGAATAATTTTTTTTTATGCAAGTGTTTTTATGAAATAATCTCTTTGTGCATAAAATGATTTTTCATTTTTTATCATTTATTGCTAAATATCAAAACATTAGTACCTTTATATTTAAACTAAAAATCTAGTTTTTGATCTTATTTCGAAGTTAGCCTCTTAAATTTCTCGTTTTGATCTTTCTTTACTTTTTCTTGACGTTTGTCTTTAAAGCTCTCGTCTCAAATTTTTTGTCTTGAATGCTTTAATTCCACTTCGATCTTCAAGTCCGATTTATAATATGTTGATTTTGGCAACGCTTGATTGATTTTAACATTGACTATCATCACTCAAAATCAATTGTTAAAAACAATATTAATCTNCACTCAAAATCAATTGTTAAAAACAACATTAATCTTATTTTTTATGATGAAAACATTAATGATGAAATCAATTATAGGTCAACACAATCTTTCTCGAATAGATCCTTTTAAAACGGACACGACCCGTTAAAGTTTACTCGCTCCGTCTAAGAAATATGTAACTAAAGATATATTATTCTTCGCTCTATTAGTTGCGTTCAAGTACTTTTTGTCATTTATTTGTTAGAAAAAGTTAAAACATATTTGTGTCATAATTTTTTACAATAGAAAACATTCATTTATCTAAATATCTTTGTATAATCCAATAATTATCTTTAAAACCACGCTCCAAATAATGAGCTCTATATAAACTAGGCAATAATCCAATAATTATTTTTCTTACTTATTTCTGTACAGTATTACTCATCCAAATACAGAAGTTTTAACTAATTAATGTAATTCTAAAAACTCTACCTCTTTCAAAACCTTAAGGGCATGAGAAATTAATATGTGCGGAATAGAAAGATTCTAACTCCAAAGTAAAGAATCGTTGCAGATAAGGAAGAATAAAAGGAATAAACAGAGAAATTTTTCGTAACAAATAAACACAGTAGAAACATACAAACTAATATTGCAGTAATTACTATTCACAGCAGATGGTTTTGCATGCTTTATTCCATTTATACAATTACTACACAAAAATCAAACTTTTTCCACATTATTTTCTTAAAAGCGTGATTAAGAAAACCTTAATAAAATTCAAGCCATCATCATTTGCTGAAATTCATGATAATCAAGTTCGCCATTACCATCCATATCGTAATATAATCATATATAGCCCCTATTTAGTGCACATTTTGAGTCCAAGAATGCATTTTTTTGTTTGATATGACAGAGAATATGTGGTTGAAAAAGAAGGAAAAGTTATTGATGTGATAGAAAATATTATTTTATTTAAGAATGTGTGGTTCAAGATGAGAATTGATTTGAGAATCAATTCTCAAAATCAGAAACAAACACATAGGGTCGAGAATTGTATAAAAAGCTTTACAGGGAAAATGAAGAAGCATAGAGCAATTGCCAGGAAATTGCTAGGTACAAGTTGAATTATTAGGTTTAACTTTCGAACGCAGGAAACTGCATGGAAGTTTCTTTAGGACCCAAATAATTGACCTTGTGCTGGCCTCTATTTAACTCTCACGTACGCATTACGCGAACTACTTTAGCCCCTGTTTGATGGTCGTTATTTGACCAAAATAATATTTTGAATAGTAATTTTTAATAAAACTAGTCAATGTTGAACGTGTGTTGCACGATATCATGAAAAACTTTATAAGTGATGTAAAAGTAATATTTGAATATGCGTGAATATTAATTAATTTAGAATTAATATAAAGGAATATATACGTAACAATGAATGTTACATTATTTATTTAATTTTCAATTAAGTAAAATTGGATGTTAATTAGTATACATGAACGCAAATAATAAAATGCATTCTGAATGTGAAATTTAAATAACTTATAATTAGGATTAATAATACTGAAATGCATAAATGCAGATGAATGTTAATTAAATGAATGTGAATATTAATTATTGAGAATTAATAATAGGAAATTCATATATTAATGAAAGCAAACATGTGAAATGAATCTGTCAAATGTACGTGTACATTGATGGTAACTAAATGGTTAAATAAATTAAATATATATTGAAAAACGAAACTTAAGGTATTATTGAAATAATCAAATTATAGTAGAGTTAAAATTGTAAATTAAAATGAAGAAATATATACGTGACAATAAATATTAAATCATTTATTTAATTTTCAATTAAGTAAAACGATGTTGATTATTATACTTTGATGTAAATAATGAAATACATTTTTAAATGTGAAATTCTAATTAACTTATAATTAGAATTAATAACACCAAAATGCATAAATGGAAGTGAATACTAATTAAATGAATGTGAATGTTAATTAATTGAAAATTAAAAATAGAAAAATCATACATTAATGAGAGCACACAGATAAAATGAATCCGTCAAATGTACATGTACATTGATGGTAAATAAATGGTTAAATAAATTAAATATATATTGAAAAATGAAAAGTAAGGTATTATTGAACTATAGTAGAATTAAAATCATCCAAAAGATAATTCTCACTTAATGTGATATTTAATATATTATAAATGTGTAGTTAAAAAGTAGAAAAAATTTGAATTTATATGCAGAATATTTTATTTATATGAATGTGTGGTTCAAAATGAGTATGTAAAAAAAGAATTTTTAAAATGGGTGTTAAACAGGAACTTAAATGTCTCATTATAAGCCTGCGAGGGTTGGCTGGGTTTGCCGCTCTAGCAAGGCTGCCCATGACATGGTATAAACTAATTTATACTTTTTGACATTGGTAAGAGTTTGAGTGAAAGTGGAGTTAGTATTTAGTGACGAAGCCAAACAGTCATTATTGTGGAATCAAAAATCAAGTTACGAATTTTCTTTCAAGAAAATAGCATTAATAAAGATATTTGAATACATCTATAATATAAAATATCACATTAAGTGAGGATCATTTTTTTGGACAATTATAACCCTACTACAATTTAATTATTTCAATAATACCTTACTTTTCATTTTTCAATATGTATTTAATTTACAAACTGTAATAAATACTACAAAATCATTGTTCATGCATACCTTCTTATTAATTAACATTCACAATTATTTAATAAATATTAATTAGAATCTCATATTCACACTAATTTAATTAGAATACTATATTTATATCATTATTAATATTGTCAAATATATCGCCATCAATATTGTCAAATATTGTCCTTAATATTAACAATTGAATTATCAATAATTTGTTCATTGATCTCTACTAGTGTAAAATCCTAAGATAACACTTCTTCAATCGAAATAAATTGATCTTATCAAAAAAAAAAAAACCAAATAAAATATTTAATGACAATTAAAGTAACCTTAAAAAATTTGAGTGGCGATTGCTGAAATTTAATGACAATGAAAGTGACCTTAGAAAACATGTCCCACTATTTATCAAAGTGTTTTCACAATGAAATTTCTATCTTGATAAATAATACAAATAAATTAAGTAATAAGAGATGTTAACACTTTAATGAATAGCAACAAATGATAGCCCAAATATTAGATGAAAGTTTTTTGATAAATATGGTGGTTAAAAATTAGATTCAACAAATCAAAGTTTTTCAATGAAAAGATAAAGAAGAGTCAAATGCTATTTAAGTAAAAAAATCTTCTCAAAATACTTCTCTCTTTTAATGAATAATTGTAATAAATTAAGTACTGAGAGATTAATAAATTTTTTTGATGAATACGATGATTTTACAAGTTTGATTCAATCAATCAAAGTTTTCTATATGAAGAAATAGAAAAATTTATGCAATGTAAGTGTAAGAATCTTTTTCAAAAAATATATATTTCTCTTTTAAAATTGATATAAATAAATTAAGTACAAAGAAAAATGAAAAAGTTTGACGAGATAAACGATTCAATATGTTTGATTCAACAATTAAAGTTTTTGTTAAGAGGAAATGAATGTAAAATGTAAGTTCAAAGAAAATTTTTATAACTATATTTTATAAGAAAACTTTCTTTTAGTTGTTTTATGAATGCAAAGTGAAATGGTATTTAATAGCAATCAAAATGCCAAAAGTTCTAGCAAGCTAGACGACCCATCCAGATGCCTGCATCCTGAACTGGATGACACAACTAACTATTGTACCAGAAATCAAAACTGTTAAAAAAATTGTTATTGGCAAACCGGATGGAAAGCTTTGACTTCTTTTTTTTTTTTTTTTTAATTTGGAATTTTGAAGGACGTTTTCACTTTATCTTTTAAGGTATCATTGTGACATTTTTTTAAATTTATCAAATTGAAATACTTGCCTTTTTGAAGGATAATTTTTTTTTTTTTATGCAAATGTTTTTATGAAATAATATATTCGTGCATAAAATGATTTTTGAGTTTTTATTATTCATCGTTAAATATCAAAGTATTAGTACTTTTATATTTAAATTAAGAAGTCTAGTTTTTTATCTTGTTTTGAAGTTTGCGTTTTAAACTTCTCGTTTTGATCTTTCTTGATATCATCTTTCATGCTTTTGATCTTACTTTTTCTTGACGTTTGTCTTTTAAGTTTTCGTCTCAAATTTTTTGTCTTGAATGCTTAACTTCCACTTTGATCTTCAAGTCCGATTTATAATGTATTGATTTTGACAACGCTTCATTGATTTTAACATTGAACTATCATCACTCAAAATCAATTGTTAGAAACAACATTAATCTTATTTTTTATGATGAAAACATTGAGGATGAAATCAATTATAGGTCAACACAATCTTTCTCGAATAGATCCTTTTAAAATGGACACAGCCCGTTAAAGTTTACTCGCTCCATCTAAGAAATATGTAACTAAAGATATATTATTCTTCGCTCTATTAGTTGCGTTCACGTGCTTTTTTTTTCATTTATTTGTTAGGAAAATTTAAAACATATTTGTGTCATAATTTTTTACAATAGAAAACATTCATTTATCTAAATATCTTTGTATAATCCAATAATTATCTTTAAAACCACGCTCCAGATAATGAGCTCTATATGGACTAGGCAATAATCCAATAATTATTTTTCTTACTTATTTCTGTACAGTATTACTCATCCAAATACAGATAAGTTTTAATTAATTAATGTAATTCTAAAAACTCTACCTCTTTCAAAACCTTAAGGGCATGAGAAATTAATATGTGTGGAATAGAAAGATTATAACTCCAAAGTAAAGAATCGTTGCAGATAAGGAAGAATAAAAGGAATAAACAGAGAAATTTTTCGTAACAATTAAACACAGTAGAAACATACAAACTAATATTGCAGTAATTACTATTCACAGCAGATGGTTTTGCATGCTTTATTCCATTTATAGTATTACTACACAAAAATCAAACTTTTTCCACATTATTTTCTTAAAAGCGTGATTAAGAAAACCTTAATAAAATTCAAGCCATCATCATTTGCTGAAATTCATGATAATCAATTTCGCCATTACCATCCATATCGTAAACTTGAATCATAGCCACACACTCATCATATGATTTTGAGTCCCCTAATCGACTCAAAACCCTCTGCAAACTTCTGGGCGTGATCCGACCCGACCCTTTCTCCAATTCAAATATTTCAAAGGCTCCCTTCAAATCCTCCTCTTCACCTTCTTTCTCCATTAGTTTCATAAAATCTTGAAAATCGAGAAGATTATCTTTATCCGTATCAAGATTATTGATCACTATTTCAGCATCCTCGTGTGACATATACTCTCCCACAGATCCAAAATAGGATCTTAGTTCAAGTGCAGAAATTTTTCCATCATTATCACCATCAAAACGACGAAAAACTTCCTTGAATTCCTCCTCTCTTGAGTTGTTACAACTCGA